GCCCATCTATATGTTTCACTATTTACTAAATCTTTTTATTTCGTTCTACATAATCGTTTTTTTTTATGTGTTCTTACTATATTAATGAAAAAAACAAAAATACACATATCCTTACATATATATATATGTATGTTTTATTCGATCTTTTTAAAATAATTAACCATGAATAAATAAATGATCACATTTGATAAACATTCAAATAATATCAATAAATATTCTATGTCAAATCGTATGTTTTGTCAATTATTATTTCGTTTCATTAGGCTTCATTCAAATTAACTATTCTATGTAACGCCAAACAAACAAACATAAAAAGAGGATTGTATAATAGGAGTATTTTTTATCTATACGGATGATTAAACACGCGTGTCGACGTAAAACAATATTATTCATTTATGAGGTAGAATTGGCTATTGACTAAAGAAAAAAAAAGAATGCTATTAAAAGATAGAACAGTGATTTTATACGAATATGATTGTTAAAATGTTTTTTTTCTTGAATTTCTTTTAGTGAATATGTTTTTAATAGAAGTACTCCTAGTAATTAATCTATCAATCGAAGTTTCATCATGTTAACAAGAGAAAATGTGGCTACTTCATTAGGCAATGAACAACAATCAAATTCGGGCGACAAACTTCATCGAGTGAATATTTTTTTTTTCAAAAAAAAAAAAAAAAAACGTAAATAAAAATTTCTTTCTTTGTTTATATTAATCAGAGAAATCCAATTGCTGTTCGACAGGAAATTCCACCATTCGATGATGTTGTACTTGAAACAATGGTTGCTGATGTACAATTAAATGAATTGCCCGGCTTACAAAATACAGGTAGAATTTTACTACTTTAGGTTTTTTTTTTGAAATAAAATTGTATGTTTTTTATATTCAAATAGAAGAATGGAAACGTATTGCTACTCGATCTTTTCAAGAACCACCATCTCCTGATTCAACAATTGAACTAAAAGATGAACCAACACAGCAAATATTAGAACTCTCTCATCAAACACAAGACGCAGAAAATGAAGACAATAAATCAACTGTACGTCTATCTTTATGGCATACACCACATGGTCGATTTTTATTTATTATATCAATCATTGCTATTATAATAGCTATTATAGTTGCAGTTATTGTTACAGTTATGTTAGGTAATATTTCAAATAAAAGTAAGAAGAAAAAAATATATATTAGGATTGATTTTATTATAGTTCGAAAACCTGGTCAAACAACAACGGATTATTATTCAGGTTCTATAGCTGTCGAAGCTCGTTTTGATTCACAACTATTATCTTTATCATCAACATTAACTATAAATTATCAAAGAGAATTTTGTTCATTAGTAAGTTAAAATATTTTTAAAAATGATACCTTAAAAACAGATAAAAATAATCTTTTTTTTCGATCATAATTATTTGACTTTGTGAAACATAATTATGAGAATTTTTAGTTTATAATGAGTAAATCTATATATAAGAAAAACAAAATACAATTACAGTAGAGTATTAGAGATTCATGATCGTCAATTACTGTTGCGTTCGTTTTAGTGGCATGAAATAGGATTTTGATAGTGGTGAAAGGGGCTTAACATGACTGATTTCTCTTACGGATGAGACTCACAAAAGAACGTTTCTAAGTGTTCCGATTCATTTTCAGTCTCTGATAGGTGCGGCATTTGCCTGTAAATTTATTTTAAACTAAAACTATTGCCAATATAAATTTGAATTAAATTGTTATGTAGAATAAATTTAAAATTATTTTAGATTGAAATTTTTGTGAATTAAAATTCAACAATCCAATCGTCAAAATATATGACTTCAAGAAAAATAGATCAGATATTATGCGTTAACATTCGATCATCACTATAGAAAATTTCGTAAGAAAACGGTTGTGCTTCGTTCCCGTTATATTCTAATGATAATAAAAAAAAAAACTTGTATAGATACCTTTTCTAGTAGATCTGAGACATAAAAGATTTATTTTAATTTCTATATTATATAAATTCGATTTAAATTTAAAATAAAATGAAATCTTTTACAATTTATTTCTTAACTTGATAAACTTTTTTGTAAGTGTAAATTGATCATCCACAATCTCTGATATAAAATATTTGATCAAAGATTTCGTACAGCATCATAATTTTACAAAAAACATTACAGCTTAGTTAATCATTTTTCTTATGTACTTGTCCATATTTATTCGCTTTTCAAAAATGAGTTAGGTTCGGTTCAGTTTAACGTCGCTTTTTAATAAATGATTCAATTTCGGTCTCTGATCAGACCTATGTGCATCATGTAGATTCTAATGAGCTATGAATACTCTGAAACGAGTTCAACCTAATAACTTATTACTACTGAGGTATTGTATTTTTTAGCACAATACTCTGCCTCTCTCTCGAAAAATCTGAGTTTCGAATTTTAATTTGAAACTTTACATAGAAACACCCCTTAATGAGAATAGTTTATTGTAAAAGTTTTCGATCTTTTGATCGCTTCTATTCTTTTCAAACCATTCATAGCTCATGTGAATGTACATAGTTCTGACTTAAAAGCGATTTAACACTTACAGATGTTTGCTTATCAGTCCTCGTTCTAATTACGTTCAGAAATGGACAAGTCAAGTCAAAAAATGCATATTAGATTCACATTATGTAAAGTTTATACTTCTTTGTTCTAATATAAAAATTCTATTCTTTAATAATACTTGAACATAATTATAAGCTGATAACAAAACTTAAAATAGATACTACGGACGATGAATAATTATCAATAACAAAGCGTAAAATTTTTTTTTTCTTACGAGGTAACTCTACCAACTGATGGACACTGTTCAAACTTATATTTTACTGAATGTTAGGGTCTATGGTGCAGCTAAAAGCTAAAAAAAAAGGATATACGTTATCAGCACTTTCTTCTTGAATTATGATCATTTTACTGAATTTTTAGGCTTTTGTAGGATATTATTGAATTAAAGAATTTTAGTCTAAAATTTTAATTGTTCAAAAGAAAATCGAACTTGTTCGAATTTTTTAGAGAGAAGCCAGCAGTTTTACAACTCCGCTATCTTAACATAGGAGCATTTGTTTTTTTTTGCTGAAACTTTCAGGACATTATAAGGATCATGAGATCTATTCTCAATCAATAAGAAAGCGCTAATGGTACATATCCTTTTAAGATTTTTATCTACATTATGTAACTTAGCAAAAAAAAATTGATAACATTGTATTTATCAAAGATAAAATTACTAATTATTTTCGTAATGATGATATGATGAAACTTGGAAAAAAGTTCGAGTCAATGACTTGTGTCAGAAACAAACTGATTTGTCCATCTCTGATACACCGCTAATTGTTTTTTTCTATGACCATCTCGATCTATAATTAAATCATATTTGTCAAGGAGAAAAATAAATTTGTATTCTATCATTTTATCGAATGTATTATTCCAGTCGAATAACTAGACAGATTAAAAAGCTCATCACAAAGTCAATGAAAAAAATAATCGATTATGTAATTTTTCTCAAATATCTTTTCTAGTCAATTTCATTTTTCTGTTTTGTTCCTTTAAATATTATTAATAAAATTGTATTAGTTCGATTTTCTCTATTTTAGGTCAACAGAGCACTAGTTGATGCAAAAACTAAATATGCAGTATTTTATTCTACTTGTTATATACATAATTTTCGTAATGGAAGTATAATAGGTGATTTTACACTTGGTTTTACACGTTATCAAAATGTAACACGACTTAATTCATTTCTTAGTCGTACAATAATTAATAGACAATTATTTGGTGGTACTATTAAATCAATTGTATTTAATTCAACAATATATGCGGGTACTAAAACTACTGATAATAATGTTACTTTTGATGGAACAGAATTAGTAACTGTAACAGAGTCTGAACAAGATACATTTACTTCTTCGAGTTATGAATCAAGTGAAAATGTAGATGATGAGTGTACAGATGAAGAAGAATTACCCATAGGAGATACAGCAACTGAGAAAGGTTTGTCAGTAAATATAATAATTACTGTACTAATAATAATAATCCATTAAATAATATTAATAAAAATTCTAAGTCTATTTTTTGATATTGATCCTGAAAAATTCAAAATATTGTTTTTTTTTATTAATGAGACACTTATTTTCCATTATCTCAAATTAACAAATGAGCAATTCAATTGTACAGATTTTATTTCTATTGATCATCAAATAATCAATTCTGCACATGGTATTGTGAAAAAATATTTTTATTTCTCTTCGATATATTTTTTAGTTCTTTTCAAATTGTATTCTTTTGTAAAACATAGTTATCCATATATGTATTGAAATTTAAAGTCAGAAAGACTATGTATACACTTTTAGAAGTATAAATTGATCGACTAAGCTGTCGCTATTAGTGATGTAATCAGTCTAGATTTTTGACGACCGATATCCATTCTAACTCTGTAGCATCTATTGTAGGCATACGATTTTTAATCATATAACTATTGAATTGATTATAAAAACAAAAAAACATTTTCAAATAGATAATATTATTTGATATGGTCAATGGCCAACAAAATAATCTCTGCGGATAATTTTAATACTAATAGATATTTTTAATAAGTTGATATGATAAAAGCAGGAAAGGAAATAAGATAGACCAGCGACTGACCAGTAACCTGTTCCATCTGTGACTGCCATGATACAAAAATAGATGTTAATGTTTTAGAAATTTTCCAATAGTTAAAAACGATTTCGTAAGAATGTCTTTTTTCTAATTTTTTATCAGTATTTTCTCTAGTGTAATGCCCGTTCTTTTTTTGTTTTTGATATTTCAAAAATTTTTTTAAAAATCTCCGAAGATTTTCAGTCGTCGTGATCAATCTAAACATCAACTGATATCTTTCCTCAATGTCAGTATTTCGATATTTCTCTTGATACTTATTTATCTCTAAACTTTTCTTAGCTTTTCATATGTATATATACATGTTTAATATTATCAATTTAGAAGATTTGATAAGTACATCAACATTATCTAATGATGAGCCACCATACGATGACAAACCAGGTTTTCCTCCTCCTCCTCCTAAAGGACCACATCCTTGGGGTTCACATGATAATTATAATGAAGATGAACATGGTTATCCGATAGATAATGAGGAACCGCCATATGATGATAGAGGACCACCAAAACCAAATAAAGATTTTACACCATCGTTCCCAAGAAAAACAAAACATTCCTCAACAATTGATAATCGTTTCGACGTGACTCCACCTCCAAACCGCCCCAAACCTCCCAAAAAAAACGAACCTGATGATATGAGAATTCCTCGACCACGACGTATTGTGTATCACAAATAACAATCTCAACTAAACCATTCTCTCAAAACAATACTCATCAATCAAAACATATTCTTTCATTATTAAATGGTCGAACGTGAAAAACATTTAATGAACATCTATGTATATTTGCTCAAGACTGGATAGATTGACCCATATTACAGAATAATATTAAGTGTCATAAACGAACATCAAATCATTCAAGTTTTCAATTAATTAACAATAATACATCAACACTTATCAAAATACTGAACAGTGAAATTAATCACTGGGTATTAACACATCATTATTAAAATGCAAAATTTTGAATATATCGAGATTATTCTGTAGTTTTGTTCATTTAATAAATAATAAATGAATGATATTTGTATAAAGTCAAATAAAATTTAAAAAAAAAAAGAATACATCGGCTGAATAAATCTCATAAGTTAAAAAATTAACTATATGTCGATTGCATAAGCAATTTCTTTTAGTTTTATTTTTTTGACGAGTATTAAATTATAATTGAACAAAAGAGTTTACAAATCATTGAATTTATTAGTTTGAACATCTTAAAAAATTGAATATCTCGAATTTTTTTTTGTTTCAACGTGTGTGGATCAAAGATTTCAATGGATTGACTTTCTTTAGTCCATTGAAACTTCTGGTATGAATGTCCGAATTTAGTATCTGAAATTAAAAATAAAATCAATTTCATTCCGATGGATTACATTTGTTGACTACTGTGAATTAGAATTTTTAGGTTATATTATCATCTATATTAATTCAATTGATTTTTAAGAATGAATTTTGATTTGAAGATTTAAATAAAAAGAAAAAGATTTTCATAAATAAGAAGATTTAACTCGAAACGAACTGCTGACATACTTAAATGTTCTGATATCTTTTTAATCGCCTGCTGACCTATTCTTAGAAAATGCTAATCTACATATAAATATAAAACTGAACAATATTTTTTAAATGATTTTATTTTAAGTATATCTCCATCATAAAACTGTCTTCTGAAGGATGATTTATGTCAAAAGCACAATCAATGTCCGTACTATATCCATAAGAAACTTCGTGTCTGAGTGTCAAATCACAGTAAAACTGGGCTCATAAACAAGTTCAAGGTCATCCCCCACCTCCCCCTCAAAAATCAATCTTATGTTCGGTACCTTCAAATCATATGCAATTTTCACGATGTATTGGAATTGTAGTAGAAAACTTATGGTAAAATTTTCAGCCTTACAACATGATGTTTTCGGGAGATATTCACCAAGTAAGAGTCCAAAAATAACTTATTTGGCAACTCAAAATTTTCTGTAGGCCTTCATTATATATACTTAGTTTGTTTTTGTTCGAAAGAGTATTATAGAGCTCTTGCTTTTTTAAAAATTCATACATTTTAAGAGGAAGAAAATGATACCTAACTAAATCACAAAGGTACTCTGTCATGTTCTGTATCTCCACATGTTCTTTCAAATAAATACAAAAGTTATTAACTACAATGAAGCTCTTTCGAGAATTGTGAGATACGTAATCAAAAAATATATAAACAAAGGAAGGAAAATGAATAATATTTCTCACTTTTTCTGAAGACATCATATTTTTCCAGCAGAAAAATGATGAAAACTTTTATAAAACTACTTTTTATAGTATTCAGCACTGTTTCGAATATAATATTTCGAAAGCAAAAAATTACTTATTATAGTAAAATAATAAAAAGTTCACATGAACATTGTTTGTCTTAATATAGATAAGATTGTTTTTTTTTTTAAAAAACTGTGAGCAGCAACAATACAATCAAAATATCGTTCACAAAAGAAATTTCGGTCAATATTGTAATGTATACATTTTAAAATGCACAAATGTAGGTCAATTGAAGTATATGCTATTGATATGTATGAAAAATGATATTTTCATTCATTTCGCAGTTGATTGAAATAGTTAATCAAACTATAAAATGCAATGAAGAAAAGAAGAAGTATGAATACTCATAAATAAGATGATGGTTAAATAGACTAAGGTTATTTTTATTTGATACGATCATTATTGTATTCTATGAAAATAAAATTGTTTAAATAGTTTGATTGAAATTAATTTATTTGAATGGCATTATTAACCAAATTTTTTTTTTTATTTAATATTAACTCAATTATTGATAAAGAAACAAAACTATAGTTTTATTAACAAGGTCGGTGCAATAATAAAAGAAATATTTCTTTTTTTTTTTTTTTGTTTATTACTAACATTTCTTTCTTTTTTTCTGATACACAGGATGAACATACAGAAAAACAACAAATTATTGTAGGCTTTTTTTTCTACACCCACTCTTTTTATAGAACGACATTCATCGTTTGTTAGTTGTAGAGAAAAATAACAGAACTAGCAGTACTAACAATAGATGTTGATGACGAGTGGTATGCACGCAAGAAGGGAATACATTTAGTATTGACGTTCTGAACACACTACAGAACGACAAAAAAAAACGAGAAGAAAAGGAAGAAGAAAAAAAAAAGGGAATACAACCACTCGTTTTTTTTTTTCAGCAAGATCCTCTACCATTATTGTTGATACTATTTCCTCCATCATTCCTACCACTACTACTGTTGTCGTCGACGTCAATAAAACGGAAGATGAAAATGAGAAATTCACATTTCTTATCGTTGACGTTAGAACCACAAGGCCCAAAAGAAACATTCCATCAATAATAGTCATAAACTATAATAAGATATTATATCGACATGTTTTATTAGAGAAAAAAAAATTATCTAACGCATCTTGTACTCAACTTGATCTAATGACATTCAGCAGTGAACAAATATTTCAACAACAACTTCGGTCAGATCACATTTAAGTAAATATTTTGTTTTTTTTTCTCAGTGTATGCTTTTCTCATATAGAAAATCGACTGAAAAAGATATTTATTTATTCATTTTTTTTTAAGAGAAAAAAAAATTCAAGGATTAATTTTTCATTGTTTTTCTTTTGTCTTTTTAATAATATAATTCAATTAATTTAAATAATTATGATTTATATTAACAATGAAATTAAAAGACATACATTTAATTATATATATATATTGTAAGTTTTGTATTTTTATTGAACGTAAGTTCAATCTTTATTTCAATAAGTTAACAATCAAAGAACAGAATATCAATATTAACCATAATACAAAACTAATAATAATAATAATCACAGACGAATAGAAGAAAGTATGTTTATATATATAACGATACAGTACCACATATACAAAATACGCAATAGAAGTATTACTACGTAATAAAAAATGAAAACATCAAGGTTGATATCAATGTTTGTTTTGGCCCTGAAGAGCAGAAACGAATATAGAGAAGTTAGATGAAAGGAAACGAAAGAACGAACAATTTTCAATCATCGAGAAGAACGAAAGAACCAAATATATACCGAAAGAGAACGAGAAAATAAACGAATATATAGATATTCTTTTTTTAGTAACAACAAATACTTACACACATCTATATATATATATATTTTTTTTTTAATATTCTTTACATTGATCTCAAATTTTTCATGAATATTTGCACGAATATGCATTGTACGTCGTTAATGTAAATGTTCTTATTGCATATCAAGCTGCTAACAAGATTTGTTCTTTTCTATTCTTTTTTTTTTCTTCTTACATATAGGATGGTGTCTCATAAAAAAAAAAATAATGTCTACATAGAATAAATAGAATCATAATTACGGTCTTCTTTTTAAAATTATTCTACATCATTACATCATTCTTGTAGAAAATAATAATTATGTAAAATGAAATGTACTCTTTATACTGCAATAGTTAAACTATTCCAATAAACTTTATACTTTAAAAAACAAAATTATATCAAAGATAATATTACATAGATTCATTCATTTTTTTAATCTATTTCATCATCATTCACATTTAGTTTTGTCTATATATTTGCAAAAAGATGAAAGATATTTGTATACTATAGTATTATTTAGTTATTTATTTATTTATGACTTTCCTGTGATTTTTATCGAGCTGAGTATTTTTTTGTTTTTTTTTATGACTAAATATTCAGAAAATTTGCTTCTTGAAAGAGATTCGTTATTTTTTGATACGTAAATTTTTTCTTGAATGAGAATATGTATTTGAAAATCGCTCATATTACCAAATTTTTTTTTTCCGTGAATGATCAAATACAATATACATGTACTCATGTCACAATCGATTAGAACGTTATTCATATTTCAAATGTTTTAGAATCTATCGTTGACCGTGTATATTTATATGCACAGCTGTTTCTTTTTCTCATCGCTTCTCAATCACAAATGCCATCATATACCTTTCTTCATTCGTCTTTCAAGACGTTTCTTCTCTTTTTTGTTTTTATTTGATGTTAAATTGAATCTCTTACTTCGTCTTTTTTTAAAATAGAATCATTAAATATAAATGAGAATAAGGCATCGATTAATCATCGTTAATAAGAAAAAGACAGTCTAGGTGTATGTGTATGTGTAGATTTACAAAAAAAAAAAAAAAAAAACTTTATGGCGTCATATGCACACCTGCTTCAATTCACTTCAGTACGATTAGTGTTTTATCTTTTTTAAATTTCTTTTTTTTTTTTTTAGAAAGTCAGTTTCAAGCATCCATATCATATCAACAAAATATATTCCATTACGAATACAAGTCTCAAAAAAAAA